ATGTATTTATATATTATAATTGATACAAAAAGAATATGTGGTATTTCTTGAAATGGTGAAATATATACTTGGCCTTTTGTTTATTTGTTTGTTTTTTTGGTGCCTTCCAATATATATATTCTTTCTTCTGAAATCTCTTTTTATCATCTTGGTTATTCTTGATTATGTTTCGATGTCCCCCCTCTTATCCTTCTATTTAGCTTGGCAATAGAGTTAAATTATTGGGAAAAGATTTACCTCCTACCTCCAATGGAAAGTGCTGAATGGGTGACACAAATTTCTTAGTGTCTCTTTTGGTTTCTCAAATAAAGTAAGGACCTAACCCCTTGGCTTTAGCTTCCTGCATTAGCACAGAAAGATTTTTTTGTCTATGGTATACATGTTTGCGGATTTAAGACTGTAGTATTATTCAAAAATGTCTTTCTTGACCTCCACAGTGTGAAACCCACACAGAGCATCAGAATCTCCAGGAGACTGATGTGCAGCTAGCTGAGTAATTAAGTGTTGTTCAGCAGGAGAATTATGTCCTCTTTGAAACTGTATTTCTCAGGAGAGGACCCTCCCCTAAGCTATAAAATAATATTGTTGCCTAAGGAGAAAAGAAGGAAGCTGATTATTTTTGGATACAAAATATACTTCCCAAGACATTGTTTTAAAGGTCTGTTTTATCTTATTTAACAACTGGTTATAGTCTTTATATTCTCAAATTATTTGCAGTTTTAGTGTATTACAGTGTAATTCATAGTGGTGTCATTATTTTAAAATATTTATTTTGCTAACATAGTAAATAATTTTGCTCATCCATACTTCAACATACACATTAATCTTAAAAAACAAAACGCAAACCCGTTGCTGCTGAGTCGATTGTGACTCATAGCGACTCTGTAAGACAAAGTACAACTGCCCCATAGGGTTTCCAAGGAGCGACTGGTGGATTCGAACTGCTGATCTTTTAGTTAGCAGCTAAGCTCTTAACCATGGTGCCACCAGGGCTCCACATTTATCTTAGGTTCTATAATTTACTTTTTCGTTTCAAAGTGTATTTAATCCACTCTTTCACTTAGATTTTTCTATTTACCTTTGATGGGAAATTACTGAATCATGGGCAAAATTACCAACAGTGTTCTGTCAAAATCAGGGTATCAAAGATGGATTTTAAAGTCTAGAAACATAGACTTTGTTGCCCATTTTAAGTATGTGTTTCAAGGTAAGAACAGATGAGAAGGGGATAAATGACATATACACTGCTAGTTCTCAACTCCATCCAAGTTAGACACTAGCAAAGCTATGTGAGATCACATCACAGATTTGGGAAGATCCCTGAGCTATGGAACAACAAAGGTAAGGAGTTAACAAAACCAAAGTCAGCAGCATGGAAGGATTGCAATACTGTTGAGGAAGACAAGAACTAAAAAGCTATATTTCTGAAACTACGAAGAAGCTACATAGAAGATTTATCAAAGCTTTTGGAGAAACAAAGAATACAAGATCTTTATTGAGAATAAGACTTAAGGAAATAAAAAGGAAATACAAACACAAGTAGGTTCCAGAAAACTGTATTTATACTAGAAGAAAATGACCATGTGCATCAATACTACTTCGGTTAAGGGGTATGGGCTCAGGTCTACCTTTGAGCTGATAGGTGTATCCAGGTTGTGATAGGAATACCGCTAAAACTTATCAAACCCAGGGACCACAACCTAATCATGATGATTCATGCATCAAAAGAAACTAGGAAAGCATCTCTAGTGATTATGATCTAAAGTGTTTGTCTGAAGAATTCAAATACAAAGGAGCATGGCCAGTGTTCTTTCTTCTACCAATAAAAATAGAAATAGAAGATAAGAAAGAATCGTAGGAAAAGCAATATGGTAGAGAATGATGGTGTCTAATAACCAAATTTGAATATTTGAACCATGGTCTAAGATTTTGAATGTCTTGGTTAAAAAAAGAATTTAGCTCACAAGGGCAGAGAAATATAAGTTAATCAAAGTCCCGTAGGGTTTCCAAGGCTGTAAATCTTTATGGATGTAGACTACCACATGTTTCTCCTGTGGAATGGCTGGTGGATTTGAATCATCAATCTTTCAGTTAGCAGCCGAGTATTTTAACCACTGCACCACCAGGGTTCCATAACCCAAGATTACCCATTGCCATCAAGTTGATTCTGACTCATAGGGACCCTACAGGACAGAGTAGAACTGCCCCCTAGGGTTTCCAAGGAGCAGCTGGTGGATTTGAACTGCTGACGTTTTGGTTAGCAGCTGAGCTCTTAAACAGTATGCCACCAGGGCTCCAACCCAAGATTAGCAATCTTAAATACCTTTATATGAAATACGATAAGGAGGAGGAAAACTGCATAAATAAAATTGAAAATCTTTACTTGGTTTCATCAAGATAGATGAACAACAAGGAAGAAATTCTTAATAATTTACATAGGAAATTTGGAGAAGGGATATTGTTTGAAGAGTTAAGGTAGTAAGAAAAACTTCAGATACAACAAATCAGTCCATATTAGTGCATGTGTAACCCCAAGCCATGTAGAATCAAATTCAGTATGTGCATAGTCTACTTTTACAAATATGTTTCTAGCAGAGGCAGTATAAATATGGAAAGCCCCAAACCAAAGGAAACAGCACACTACAAATTATTTGAATAAAACTATCAGGAACCAACAAAAATTATTTTATTTTAAAAATGTATTATAACATGCTTTAGAAATGGTTGATGAGTTATTTGTTTGATTAAAAAATCACCACAGAGAAAGGTATGGTAGTAATAGGTGATTTCAATTTTTCAGATATCTTTGGGAAAATTCATTCTGCTCTTATCAGTGGGTTTGACAGTTCTTGCTCACCGTTTTATCACCAGTAATATAAGAGCAGGATTTGCAAACTAAAATGTCTACTAGGGGCAGAAGTTTATGGAAAAGGTATAGAATAATAGAGAGTGATAAAGACTGTGATGAATCAGTGATCACTTATGTTTCTATTTAAAGCATTCAAATTCGGTTTTAAAATACTATGCAGGAAATGCAAACATATATATGAGCCAAGTTCACCCTGAAGGCCACAATTGAATTTGGGGAGATTCTCCTGGCAGAAGAAGCTTTCTTTCCAGTGGACTTAGGAATCTTGTTTTAGTCTTCCTCTCTCTTGACTCTTTTATTTTCATATACACTCTCTTTTTATTACAAGTCCCGAGATAAAAATATGCATAAACAGGTTTGGTAATGGATGGAGACAGCTGAGTCAATAGTTACTTCTGCTGACTCCCTGAAGCATAGATTCAAGATGTACTAGCATCCTGTTAAGACTTACCAGCTAAATGACCACAGCCTTTATTTTTTTATGATTTATGCATTCAGTTGTGATAAATCTCTGATATTTCCATTAATATTTAAGCATGCACCTATCTAATCTTCATTTTAAAAGTCATCACTTGACCCTGTAATCTTCCCCAGCTATTGACTTATAGTTCTCATACTCTTAACAGCCAAGCTTAAATGAGTTGTCAACATCTGCTGTTTTCACTTCCTAACCTGTCAGTCACTTTTCAACCTATCACAGCCTGACTTCCATACCCACTACTACTAAACCTCTTTTTAAAAAGTTCAAGTCTTACCTAACATGGAAGATTTGCTAGGACAATGATGGCTAGGGGTTGCCACAGCAATTCAGGGGAATAGTAACACATTCACGGTTGTATTTCTGACAATATGAACTTAATGAGGAAGAATTAATCTATCTGCCATGGGAGTTCTCTGCCTAAAACAGATTTTAAAAGGTTGGTACAAAAGCTGGAGAGAGAGAATATAACAGTGGATATAGCAAGTGTTATTGAAAAATTGCGCATTCCAAAAAGGGAAGTATTAAAAATTGTATTATTATTTTTGTTTAGTTATTTAATTTTATAATGTAAATAAAATGAATGAAAGGAGGGTTTAGCTGATGTGAACAGGATATACAAATAAGTAGAACTATTTAAAAACTCTCATTCTTGCCTGTACCTGCTCACTTGAAGAGAAATATTTCACTAAGAAAGAGGCATTAAGAAGAAGGCACTGAATTCCAAGAGCGCTTAGTCATTATTTTGAGAAAAAAAGTCTAGTTATTCCAAAATAATTTATTTATTCCTACTTTGAGTGAATAAGCATATGTTGAGCAACTTAAGTGCATATTATGAACCTTGTCTTTTAGGAAAATGGCTAAAGCGTAGAATAGCTATTGCAGCAAAGAACTTGCAGTTTAGTAAGACAGATAGTACATAAACATACATAAACCTTTATATTTAAAACAAAACAAAATCTTCAGTATCTTTCTGGCCTAGAAAAGTTTTACTTGGTACATTGTCTATCCTGTCAGGACAACTAGGAAGAGAGGTTCAGAACCCCAAGATCCAAGATTATGCATCTGTAAGTGAAATCCTGATTAGCTTGACTTTTAATTTTATTTGACAGTATTAACCTATTTTGAAACAAAGCAAATTAAGCTGTGTTAAAAATAGCCCTGTCAGGTAAGCTTCTTTGTTTCTTTGACAAAGTTACTTGATAACAGATAATGAAAAGCAGGTAGCGAGCTAAGACTCATAACATCCCTGTGCACGAGACAGCAAAATGGGGCCCAGGTGATGAAACAATCAGGTGGGATTTATAACTGGATAAATAATCCTCCCCCAAAAGTGCTGAGAAGTAGAATGATGCTGATAATAGGAGTGGAGTTAAAATTGAAGGAAGGCTTCTAGTGGTATGATTAGGACTCGCTCTGTTCTTTATCAACATATTCCCTAACCATCTGGGCATAACATTTTGACAGTGCATGCAGCTGACTTATGGATTACTTATGGTGACAGGAATCGTAGATGAAAAAATTTGAATTACATCTCAGCTATGGGGTTGCTATGAGTCGGAATCTACTTGACTGCAACAGGTAAATTGTTTCTATAGAAACAGGTAGATTTTTTATGTAGAAAAGGATCTGCTGGCAAAAATATTTGATTGGACCAGCATGCTCAGGAGCAGTCCTGTCTCCAACACTTGACTCCTCAAAAACCTTGCAAAATTAAGTGTACATGGGCAGTAAAATAGCTTGGAGAATTTCAGTAAGAGCAAGAATGATGGCGTACGCATGTGCAACCACTAGGGGGCCACCGACAAAGTAATAAGCAATGTATTGTCTGAGTACTACCCTGAATCATGAGACTCAAAGCCTTCCATGCATAAGCACCTCAGCCCATGAAAGGGGTAGAGTTAATGATGCGCTATTCCACATGGTTTCCTAATAGATCTACAGAGTGAGCAACCCCTGGCTTTCATAAGCCAGTGTTTTCTCAGAGGACGTTCTTGCCATTTTGGGAATGACAAGCTATAAGATTCTCCTGCTTACTGAAGGATATTTAGAATCCTTTTCCTCTTCCCAATATATACCAGCTGCACTTTGTAGTCGTTTGACATCCAACAGTGCCACCCCCACCCTAACATACACAAATATCTACATTCCCCTCTGGGGACTGATACTGTCTCCACTGAGAACCACTGGTATACAGCATTGCCCAAAAGAAACATAATATAAGCCACAAATGCATAATTTTAAATTTTCTGGTAGTCACGTTAAGACAAGTAAAAAGAAACAGGTGAGATTAATTTTAATAATATATTTTATTTAACACAACATATCCAAATATGGCCATTTCAACATGTAATCTTTATAAAATTATTAGATATTTTATATTCTTTTTTTTGTACTAAGTTTTCAAAACCTGGGGTGTGTATTTTACACATACAGTAGTTAATTTGGACTAGCCACATTTCAAGTGCTCACGAGTTACATACGGCTAGTGACTACTATATTGCTATAGATGAAACCATCCCTGAAGTCCACAGACACTTACGATCCCACTGGCACCTAGACAAGAATGAGGTAGACTCTCACCAGATTTAGATAACCGTGATAGAGTAAAAGATTTCTTAAGCTGGTCTGATCGAGGTCACCCTTTCCAGTTAGCTGGTCATATATGCTGAAAAATGAAGCTAAGATCTGTAGGAGAGTTGAATCAATTCTGTGAGTAAATGTCCTTCTTATTCAGAAATGTTTTAATTGGGCTGAAAAAAATATGTACTTGCTAAGGCTTTGCTCCTGTTAAAGGGTTATTGTCATTGCCTTGTGCCATCAAGTAGACTCTTACTCATAATGACCCCATGTGACAGAGTAGACATGCCCCATAGAGTTTTCTAGGCTGTAGTCTTTACGGGAGCAGATCACCAGCTCTTTTTCCCACAGAACAGCTGGGTGGGTTCAAACTACCGACCTTTCAGTTAACAGCCTAAAGCTTAAGTGTTGTTTTACCAGGTCTCCTTGCTAAAACGTACTGTCCTGCATGTGATGCTCAGTAATATTTTTACTTGGTATGTTCTTAATACCATTTTCTATTCAGCATTTTCAAACATGGTATGGCCCTAATTCTATACTAAATTCTTTGAATATGAAAGATGTTACTCCTCAGCTCTTCATCCTTTTTATTTTTATAATTTTGTTTATGAGAAGAAAATTTTAGTATCTATTTTTCTGAATCTAGTTTTGACTCACAAAACTCTTCTAGAGCTTTTTTGTTTCTCTTCTAGAGCTTTTATCATTTTTAAAAAGTTCCTTTTCTCTATTAAAATGTTGTGTTCTTAAAAAAATTTAAATCACAATTTAGATATCCTCCTTTTATTGCTCAGAAGAAGTATAAAAATCCTGATTCATCCAGTCACCTAGTAGTTGAAAATGTTTCATAATTTATTGAACGGGTCTACCTCATCAATCTCCAGTTCCTATATGGACTGATCAAGAATTTTATAACTTCTAATTGAATCATTAGTTTCCTTATACATTTTAAGAGAACAGATTTATTGTTACTTGCAGTTTGTGAATAATAACTTACTGATCTACAGTAAGGCAAATGCACAAATGAGAAAAATAAAATGAAAATATTCACTCACTGTGCATAACAGAAATTCTTACATTTAAAAAAATGATTCCTAAGAGTACTTTAGTTAGCCAGTGCATGGTTTTTCTAATGACATCAACAATGAAATTATTATTTCATGATAAGAAAATTTCATAATTAAAGCATTAGTGGCACATATGTACACTATAATTGAATAAAATAAATTTTGATTTTCAAACTCCAAATCCCTGAGTTAGATCTAGGCAGCAATCAACGTGTTTTCAATTAAAAAGGACTTTCTTATAATTATTCAGTTCACTAATGTGATTTTCAGGCTATGAGATATTTATATCAATACATATTTATATTAATATTCCTAGAATGAAGAGAATTGAATCTTACAAATTATTTGCTAAATTATAAAAAACAGTAGAAACAAAATTTTCCTCTGATCTTTCTGTAAGATACTTCATTCTGCCCAAAAGCAACCTTACCCTGGTCAAGTTCTGCAAATGTTAAATAAGGATATGTCAGTCACAATGACAGGAGATGAATGTTGTCTTTAATGTTTCATATTAATTGATACTTTGGTGAGATTTTACGGTGTAGTCTTTGTAAAAATTAGTTTAAATCTTTCTACCTAACTGGAGTTTAAATCATATATA